CAATCACTGGAACCAGACTATCTCGTTGCTATAATATGGAAACACTTGTATGTAGGAACATGTAAATGAAGTTTAGTGGTGGCTGATAGTATTGGGTTTTCTAGCTGCCTCTGATAGCCTTGAGCATTTTAAGCAATGCTGGGTTAGACATGTAGGTAGTAAAGCTAACAGCTAATTGCTGTTAGCTTTTAGCTTTCCTCAAAGCTAACGTTAGCTTTGACGAGAGAAACATTTTTTCTATTACGGAAAAATGAATGGATCATTCTTACTCCAGCCTGAGGCAAACCACAAAAACACTCAAAGTTATGTAGACAGTCTCTGTCTCGTGACAGTAGTTAAGCTGCAAGTTTAGAAAATAAATCTTTCTCGGCTGTATTGACATGAAATAAACACAGATGTTACTAATGTCAGTAATGAGGGCATTGTTCTGTTTATGTACGCAGCCTTAATTACAGTGAGTAGTAACACCTGTATTTCTTCAGGAGGTATTAATCAAAAAGAGAAAATAAAATCATTTTGTGAAAAGCCTGACCACCTCATCATAAATAGATCACGAACAAAGAAGTAAACTATTATTCTCATGTATTTTGAGGTTATTCGATGCCTGAATGATGCTTAAACATTAAAGCTTTATGTAGCCTTTAACAGCAGCCTTTAACATACAATATTGTAGATATATGTAATGTGATTGCAGTTACGATTATTGTAACAGTATTTACCAACCATATTACATCAAAGTACCCACTGTGAAGAAGGTCTGTTGTGTAGAACGGCATTTGGGCTAGTTTTATTTGGGTAGTTATTTTAAAACTTATCTAAATGAACTCAAATTTCAGAAGTTTTACTCCTACCTCTAAAAAAAAAACCTTTTTTTGAGTGTCTCTGTCTGTCTCCCAGTCTCTGGTTTAAACAAGAGGAAGCGACTTCAGACAACTGACATTCCCCCAGCGCGCACCTTCACAATCACCACCATCACCGCCACCTCCACCCTGTCTCTCTAGCCACCCCACCCATCCACTTGCCACTCTCCTCACTCCACTCCTCCTCTTCTTCTTTCCACAGATGAGCTCACAGTGCCTGCTCTCTATCCCAGCAGCCCAGACGTGTGGGCCTCATACCCGCTGTACCCGGCGGAGCTGTCGCCGGCCCTTCCACCCGCTTTCACCTACCCCTCCTCGCTCCACGCTCAGGTAAACCCACCTCCCCTCCCCCACCGCCACTGCCGCCTCAGTCACCTAGCCTACCTCAGTCACCTAGCCTGCGGCCGTCAGCCCTGTTATCACTCTCTGCTTCATCCCACAGATGCACCTCAGAGTACACACCACCCATTGTCACTGTTAAACACAGTCACGTTTAAATCAAATGTCTAATGATTCCAGGTCAATGTATTTTTGGGGCTGGGGAGTTATTTTCCTTACAGACAAGGAAATGTATACCCAGCATCACTCAGTTTCATCAGTGTAAACAAGCTGCTTCTCTATAAAAGCATCTAAATACACATTTTCTTTGGCTGCAGGTTTTCATGTTGACTTTTATTGAAACACTTTCAAGTGCAAACATATTAAAAGCTGCTTTTATGTTTAAACTATTGCCGCTGATACTGATCAGTCATGTTCATCTGCTGCACCAGTAGCACAGTGAAGGCAGAATTTTGGTAAAATTTAATTGTTACATTGGTGCTGAAATTAGTGAGTTTATAAATAATTGAATTGTCAGTCCATTTTCACCAACCCTTCTCAGCGGAGCTGTTACCCGATCCCAGCACCTTCCAGAAATCGAAGTAAACTCAGCTCTTCACCTCATTCTCAAACTGCATGTCACATAATGGAGCTTGTGGGTTGGGCTGAGTTTTAGGAGGTCCAAGCAGGAAAAATAACTCTTCCAAATGATACTTTTTTAAATCAGTAAAAAATAAATTCCTCAAACTGAAAAACTGATTTGTCCTGTTTTGCTTTTTATTTTAGACTAAAATCCTGAATGTATCCATGCATTCATACAGGATGCATTCACATCCACATATAATTTAGAATCACCAGTTAACCCACTGTGTAAATCTTTGGACTGTGTGACAACCCCCACACAGAAAGTACATGCAAACTCCACACTGAGAGGTCACAGCTGGCTTCAAATCAGACACCTTCTTGCAATGAGATGACAGTGATACCATTGCACCACCAGGTAGAATACAATAAAGAATTCAACACCAAGATAATGTTAAAAATGGCATCGCAGGACACAGTTTTTAGATCTTGTAGCTGCTTAATCTGCACAGCTAAAATCTGCAGCTGTACAAAGGGTTTGGATCATTTTACCATCATCTACCTCATTAATTATAGCAAATCCTTCTTTTCCAACCAGCCATGATCCAGTTTATTGAGGTCTTCTAATCTGCGCAGCTCTGCTGTGAGTTCATGTTAAAGTTCATTATCGATCTCTTGAAATTCTTCTCATGAAGACCGTTTGATGCAGGCAGGCCCTCATGCAGTCTTAATGCCACGCATACAGTATGTACGGTTTTGAATGCAAGCTCTCACTGCTCACTTTGCAGTGTTTCAAACTCAATGTGTTATACAGTCATGTGGTGTTGCTTTTCTCTGCTCGAGGGAAAATTGAGCACTTCCACTTATAATATAGATACTAAGGTTATTTAAGTATAAAGGCCTCGGGGCAAAAACACTAGCTGAAGCTCAGATGATGTCAGCATTTGAAATGAATGCAAGAATCTGCCTAGCTGGCATTTTTCCACATGCATCGAGTATATTCACACCAGTGGCAGCTGATAACTGAAAAAACGAGGACAGACGAGAAAATCAATTCATGTTATGTTATAATAGTTAGTATATTTCCATTTTCTCATGGTGAAGCAGTAAAACAGTGCCTGTGCTCTGGATGGGAATGATGCATGTATTATTTGAAGCCTGCCAGCGTAGCTCATTTTGAAGAAACTGGCCCTTTAAATGGACCAGAGGGACAGACAGCAGTGTGTATTTCTGTGAAGCCCAGAATAATAATACACCAAAATAATTAGTTAACTAATTACCAGCCTACATAATGCCATGTTTTCATAGTTACTCAGATTTAGAGCGGTCAAACTTGTGCACATTAGTGATACCGTAATCACTACCGCAGATACCGACCTTGAGCTAAATGGGAAAACTGGAAAAATAATAAGTACGACAAGAAAGATGTTTTTGATTTTAGTGAGTCAGTTTATTCCAAACCATTTAAGCAATGAGGGCTAAAGCTGTGCCATCACTGCAGAGCTCTCTATCCTTTGCCCAACTGGATCCAGTCACTCCAGTCCAAATCTATTCCCTATGCTAGTCCTTCATGGTTGCCTTAATGTTACCAGTGGCTAGTGCAAGTAGCTAGCTAGCTGCTTGATTTTTAAAAAGAGAAATGAAATGGGGAAAATTCTATATGTCCTGCACTTTTTTCAAAAGACCCAAATCAAATGTCACGAAATTAATCACGTTTGTACAATATAGTGGAAGAGATCTGACGAGTGGAAGAACACAGTGTCAGTGTTTTACTGTGGATGTTCTTGCTGAGCTTGTCCTCCTTTAGAGCATCATGCTACGTGTTCTGCTCACTAACAGAGTAGTAGGAACGAAGCCAAAGTGTATTAAATTAATGGAAGAGGTCCCGCCCTGAGGACGTCAGACTCAGTGGCGAACTGAGGCAATAATTCAGGCTGGGACATCATCTCTCAGACTACTCTGTACATGCAAACCATCAGACTGCTAATTCTGCTGCCTTACCCTGCCTGCTGTTTAAGGAAAAACAATATGTGGCTATCAGAAATCACATCTAGCCAAAAGAATTCTCTTTAATCTTATTATTGTGATGTTTAATGAGATTTTGAAAATAAATAAATAAAACTACTTATGTCAATTAATTAAATGTTTTAATTGCAAGTAAATTACAGCTGAAATATGAGTGTAATGAGGGGAGATAATCAATAACCACAACAGTAAAGACGCTAGATGAAAATAACAATGATTAGGATATTATGAGTAAGAACGAGCCATTGTAATATTTTTTAAACACTGAGGGAGATACTCTATAAACAATTTTAAAACTGAGGCATCAAACAAAAGTACAAAAAAAACTTCACACACATGCACTGAGACTGATCTTGAGCTACAGCAGTGTAGCTTCTGCTCCTAGCTGGCAGCATTAGCCACTTTTAGATGCATCGCCTTTTTTTATTCAATTCAATTCAGTATTATTTATATAGTGACAAATCACAACAACAGTCACTCCAAGGCACTTTATATTGTAAACACAATAAAACAGAGAAAACCACAACAATCGGCTGACTCCCTTTGAGCAAGCACTTGGCAACAGTGGGAAGGAAAAACTCCCTTTTAACAGGAAGAAACCTTCGGCAGAACCAGGCTCAAAGAGGGGAAGACATCTGCTGTGACAGTACAATAGATTATTAATAACTAATAATTACATGATTTTTTAAATTTTTTTTAACTGTTTTACATTATTTTTAACATTATTAGTTATTTGGCTTGCAGAGAGCGACAGAGACTGCGAATACTCATTTAAATGCATCTTTTTTGTGTGCATCTGCGTACCTGAGATAGCGCACATCGAGTCGTATATTCATGTCAGGCCAGTTGACTGACCCCAACGACCCCACACCGACTGCCTCTTCCCTGCAGATCTCACTTTTGAGACGATCTGTATTTGTATAATTTTAAATACTATCATCTCCCTCTTGTCTCTCAAAAGAAACAGAGGGCGAGCAGTCTCCTCTGCGGCCACGACTGAGCTGCCCTTCACGCACACATTCTGACACGTGCAAAGTGATCGTTGCCGTGTGATGTTGCAAGATGGTCACTCTACTTTCTGTTAACATGAGCTCACCTTTTAGGCTCCACAGTTTTATGTTAATATGTGATTATGTGTGTTTAGATTCGTTGGCTCCCGCCTGCAGATGGAACTCCTCAGGGATGGAAGTCCAGGCAGTTCTGCTGAAGTATGTGTGAGTAACAGCACACACATGCACACACACAAACACACACTCACACACTCGTACGTACACATAGCTCTCTGCCCTGCTGCGTCAAAGAAGTGTACATACTCTGGTGTGAAACCTCTTTTGTAAATGTTATGACACTTTGCATAAACAGGAGTAGAGTTATCTTAAACACATGTCAGGAATATCACGGGGTGTTACTTCACGCGTGTTTACCTCTTTTGGCCCTCAAACCTCACAAAACCTCCATCCGGCTAACTGCCAAACTAACCAGCTAATTAGTCACGTTTCCTCTAGTTGACGTCAAAAACATACATACTAATCGCTAACAAAAGTAAAGCCTGTGGTTCGATGAAACCACACACACTCCTCACACACGATCATAGGAGATGAAAGGTGCGATCTAAAGGGGAACTCCATTATTTTCTCCACTCTGGTCACAAGGTACAGAGGGTCGACTTTTCCCATTGATGTTATGGTTGATCTCAGGCATCAAAAGCAGCAAGTCAAACAGAATATACAATGAGTGCCAATGCCAACGTTTAATGAATCAGACCGAGAAGAGCTTTGCAAATATGACTAAAAGGCTAATGCTAGCTGCTTTGAAAGGCAACACAGTTGCAGGGAAAGTCACTCAGTTCTTTCACTACTCGCACTACAGTTTTGAGCCATTTAACCTGGCTCTTTCTGTTCTGTGCTGCTTTTTACATCAGCTCTACTCCAGCCAAAGTTCAGAAGAAAATTTACAAGATTTAAACCGTTAATTTGAAAAGTAAAGTCAAGTGCTCAAATTGTCTCGACCAAAGCTGCTAAGCTATTTTTTCTAAGCTATTTCAAAGTTGTCCATTCACAGAGGGAATAAAGCTCTGAAAACCTTAAAATGCATTGACAGATGAATCCTTTAAAACTTTAAAGTAAAGCCCCTACAATAATATAAAGGAAATCCCAACAATCAGACAACCCCTATGAAGAAGCGCTTTGGTGACAGTGGAGATGAAAAACTCTCTTTTAGCAGGAAGAAATATTGAGCAGAACCAGGCTCAGGGAGGGGCGGCCATCTGCAGCGACCGGTTTGGGGTGAGGGGAGGGAAACAGGACAAGCTATCCTAGAGTATTTAGAGTACAATGGGAGACAGAGCCAACAGCTGTCAGGCTCCTGTGGAACCAGCTCCCAGCATGGATTCTGGAGGCAGACATCTCTACTTTTAAAATTAAAAAGTATTAACGGTCATTTAAGCCCTTTTAAAGCATTTTAAATTGAAAATAATTTGGGGTAAATAGTCTCTTTTATCATTAGGGCTAGAACTGAATCCTTAGTTATGATGCAACAAGCTGCTGGGGGTTTCCCATGATGCACTGAGTGTTTCATCGCTCACTTTTTTTCACTCTATGTGTTTATACAGCACTCGGCATTTAATCAATAGTTATTATTAATTGTTGGCTCTCTTCCACAGCATGTCTTTGTCCTGTTTTCCTCCCCTCATCCCCGACTGGTCACTGCAGATGGCTGCACCTCCCTGAGCCAGGTTCTGCTGGGGGCTTCTTCCTGTTAAAAAGGAGTTTATCCTTCCCACTGTTGCCAAAACGCTTGTTCATAGGTGGTCATATGATTGTTGGAGTTTTCTGTTTTCTCTGCATCAGTAGCATCTTTACCTTAAAATATAAAGCACCCTGAGGCAACTGTTGTGATTTGGCACTATATAAATAACACTGAATTGAGTTGAATAGAACTGGTCTCTGTCTTTGAAGCAGCCACACAGTTGGAATAAATTTTGTTTGTGTTTCATCCTTAGTTAATGTTAAGTTCAGGACAAGCATCAGGTTTCTGCAGTGAAATAGTTCTAAGATATGATTACATGTCCTCAGTCGTTTTTCTATGGAGGATCAGAGGAAATTAGACCTGCCTAGCGGAAAGACGGCTGATATTTATTATACTTGTGTGTGAGGGAAAGTTTATTATTATGCACCCGCTCTTGCATTGCTATAATAAACACAGAATATTGTTGTGTAATGTTGTTAGTTATATAGCACAGATATTAGGTGCTGTTTGTCATTTTGTCAAACCCTGGCAGGATGAAATACATTTTTTAATTTAAAACCCTGTTTTTGGCATTTCTGCATTCTGACAAAGTGCACAGTGGAGAAGCATAAAAAAGATGGGGCCGAGGGAGACGGAGGACGTGATCCAAAAGGTCGTAAATGGGAAATATTCACCCAGAACCACTGAGGTACCTGGGTACTGCTGGAAGGGCCGTTTTTATGAATCTTTATTAGAAACTGTTTAGCGTGGGATCTTTATTTCAAATAAATTACAGATGACTTAATTTTAGTGGAGCGGCAGACGGTACACAGGGCCGTTGGCTTCTAATAAGTGCTTTGATAAGTATATGAGTCAGCTATAACCACGCATGAGCAATGCAGCACGTGCGCTTTGCTCGGGGGTTCAGACAAACTGAACGCTGTTGTGCTTGCAGAAAAACAAAACCACAAAGCAAAACAAATCCCCTGCTAGTCTGTGTATCTCTGTTGGCTCTGACTCTGTGTGTGTGTGTGTGCGTGTGTGTGTGGCGCCAGTCGCACTGTCACCAGTACCCTCCCTTCAGTCTCAGGACAGGAAGAAACATGTTGCCCCAACCCCACAGGGAGTCAGCAGGGAGTGGGTGGGTGGTGGTGGAGGTGCTAGTGTGGAGCCTAACATTCATCAAGCTGTTGATTGGTGCTACTCCTCCATCACCTCCTTCGAAGCCTACATCAGAGCTTACATGTCCGTTTCTTGACATGTAAACATGCTGTGTGAGGAAAACGAGCCATTTGAGTAATTTGGATGTTTCTATGACTCCTTCTCTGCCTGCGGTGGGTGGGGTGTACAAAAGAGGAAGGACGGAGGGGCTTGGAGGAAATAATTACTTCTCTATCAAACCAGAAGGAAGTCGTTTGGCTGGTCAGGCTGCCCCAGTGGATATTAGGCCCTGAGTGAAACAACAACGACCCCACATCCGGTTCACGGTGGAGGGCAAAGTGCAGCCGAGACATCCAGTCAGAATATTGTTATAATTACAGGTGACTGATGCAGGAGCACACAAATTATGCAGTGTGCAGCATTACTACATGTTCAAACATAAAGCTTCAGACAGACAAGCACACACGACGGTATGCAAACAAAAGAAAAGCTTCGGTTCATCAACATTACAGAAGACAGCTCACGTTTACTCGCATCTATTCACGCCGATACTTTTTTGAATTACTTGCCTCGGCTTTAAGGGGATTTGTTGTTGTTTCTTTCACTCCAATTATATTGCTTACAATATTGCCTGAATGCTTCTAAATAAACACTTTAACATCCTCCTAGAATCACTAAACACAAATTTTTACGTGGGACCTCTAAAGGTTTCTTTCCCTCGATCCTCAATCTGGTTTCTAGAAAGACAAGCTGTCCTAAACACAATCCTAAACCATGTGATAGGTGGGGAAGCAAGAATATATATTATATACAGGTGTATTGCAGCATAATGCAAGCTACAGTATTAATTAAAATGATAGAAGAGATGATTTTACAGTGGACAAAAGCAGTCTCATAAATAAATCTATTAGGAGTAGCTTATGTTACACATGG